CTTCCACCCCAGCCCCTCGATGGGTAGGGCGTCCCGTTACCGGCTGCCCGCGTCCTCAGCGCTAGAAGCGCCGACGCCATGTCCGCCTCCTATGCACTTCCGGCCTCGGAACGCTTCTGCTTCCGCTACCGCGAGATCTACTTCCGGGTCCGGCGTAGCTGTTCAAAGAGTGGCGCGAGGAGTTGCAGGTGAGCGGCGTGGGTCGCTGCCCCTCTAGCGAGTGGAGGCTGCTTTCCTGAGCACCCGTCCGCGGGGCGTTGGCGGTCAGGGCGTCCCGGGGCCTCTGCAGCCGACTGCGGGCGTGAGAGGCACGGAGCGTGCCCGGCAGGGGCTCGCCTTCCGGCTCTCTCGCTGGAGTCACCTGAGGCACAGCGAGGGGACAGGGATGACGTCCCCTTCCTAGTCTTTCAACTTACTTAGCCAGATTGCTGTGTGCAAGATACTGCACTGAGCGCCGGCAGATGCATTATTTCATTTCATTCTCACACCCCTACAAGTTAGTATTGCGGTTCGTGGAGAGCCCCGTGCTCCTGGAGCGGTAGGGGAGATTGAACTCCCGGGTTGACTTGAACATGTACCCGCGATCCTGGCTGGCAGGAAAGCAGACGGCCCTAAGAGGACACTGTTAAGGGTGCACCTGTTTCAACTCTCTCATGGAAGAAATAAATAAACTTGGGGTTGTTATTATCTCTATCTTGTTTGTTTAAAGATTTATCTGTCTGTCTGTCTGTCTATCTACTTCATTCATTCATTCATTTGTTTTAATTTGACCAGAGAGAGAAAGTGAGAAAGCAAGCCACCAGGTCCAGACTCAAATCATGGTCAGCCACGTGGTAGTGTCCAGCGCCTTAACTACCAGCCACCTGCTGGTTCCCATCCCTATCTTATTATAAAGGAAACCAGGGCCCAGGAAGTTTACATGGTCATCTAAGGTCACAACTACTGTGTTAATAGTTATTTGTTCACAGAATGGGTCTTGCACATGACCCAGCAATTCCACTCCTAGGTATATATGCAAGAGAGTTGAAAATAAAATCTTGTACATGAACGTTCATAGCAGACTATTTCTAATGCCCCAAATAGGAACAATCCAAATGTTCATCAAGTGATGAATGTATACACAGATACAATATATCTGTACAATGGAATATTATTCAGCCTTAGGAAGCAACGGATTACTGATGCATGCCATAACAGATGAATTTTGGAAACCTGGTGGGCCAGCTTGTGGTGTGGTTAATGTGGCTGGCTGGCACATGGCTCACTGCAGGTATGAGTCCTGACCCAGCAGCTTGGGAAACATGCTGGGCATGTGTGTGTGTGTGTGTGTGTGTGTGTGTGCGCGCGCACATGCCCAGAATCCAAAAAGGTAGGAGAAATGGAGAAGGGATTGCAGTGTGACCATTCCCCAGAGGGGATGCTTTCTTTCTGTGTGTGTCTCTGTCTCTCTGTGGTGAGTGCCTTCTGGCAAATTTTTTAAAAAAGAAAATCATGCCAAGTGAAGGAAATCAGTAGTAAAAGGCCGTACACTGATTCCATATATATGAGATAGAATGGGCAAGTTCATAGAGGCAGTAGATTTGTGGTTGCAGGGACTCAATGAGGGGGAAATGAGCAATGACTGCTTAATGGCTATGGAGATTCTTTTTTGAGTGATGAAAATGTTTTGGAGTTAGATAGTGGTGATTTTTGCACAACATTGGGAATATACTAAAAACTGCTGAAATACACATTTTTAAAGGATGAATATTATAATATACAAATTATATCTAAACTTTTAAAAAGGATGACTGGCCATCACCATTTCAAATACAGAGAATAAGGGAGTAGTGTTGAGTCTTGTTACTACCCCATTAAAACTTTGTAATAACTCTTTGTTTATATCTCATCCTGACCTAGAAAGGGTTTGAGAGAATTCCTGTTAAGACTGCAGGTATAGCTGTCCTGAGTTCCAGGTTGAACATGCCGAGGCCCATGTCCTATTTCTCTGTATCTCTGCTTCTCTATATCATACTTATTTCGTAAAGCGAGGCTGTAGAACACATCTGGTAGACTGAACTGAATGTAACAATCTCATCTTTCTTATAGGGAATTAATCCGATAGCACATTGATGGCTCTGAAGAAACCATCACTGGCACTGGATTCCAGTGAGAGCGACTCTGAGGAGTTGCCAACATTTGCCTTTCTGAGAAAGGAACCATCTTCAACCAAGAGGAGACAGCCTCAGAGGGAGGAGAAGATTATAGTACTTGACAATTCAGATTCTGAGGCCTCTAGTCCTTTATCCCCAGGGTTGAAAGATCTACCACCTATCCTAGACACAGCTGAAACCGCCCCACAGACAGAGCCAGTCAGGGTGCCAAGCAGCGAAAGTGAGGATGAAGAAGAATTCGTTCCTCTGGCTGAGAGGCTTACATGTAAGTTCCTGACTCATAAGCAGCTGAACTCTGAGGACTCTAACTCCCCAATTAATAGTGTTTTGGGTCATCAAAATAGTGAAGGAGCATATGACTGGAAAAAACAACCCTTTCTGAAAATTCCTGATGTTCCCCTCCATGATACCTCTGAGAGGAGTGCACAGAATAACAAGGACCCTATCTTGGACAATCTGAGCCATCAGCTCCCAGCCTACACATCTACCTGCCCTATCCAGAGCAACAGCTTGCCAGTAACCAAAACAAATTCTGACATCCTCCCACCTCGGAAGAGAACCAAGCATGACCCAAAGGTCCAGGGAAGAGGAACACAGAGACACAGGCAGCAGGGACAAGCATGCCAGAAGGGAAGCATCCTGGGACAACAAGAAAAGCAGAAGGCAGCAGTGGTTAACAGGTTGAAAGCCCAGAGGCCAGACGAATGCTTAAAGCGCATCACAGTGGTGCTGGATCCAGGTCCTGCTAGCATCTGCCTTCACCCTGTGCTCAGTTATCTGTGTTCTGGACCACCCACTGACTGGCCCTTTCCCATCTGTTGCAGTACTTCTCCAGATGGAGGGTGGGGGCCAGCTCCTTGGAGCTCTGCAGTCCATGGAGTGCCGCTGTGTGATTGAGTCACAGGCTGTGCCGTGCAGCATCACTTGGAGAAGGACTGGAACACTCGAGGTAGGGTTTTCTGGCTGACGTCTGTCCTCCCCTTCAAGTTCTGTGGTAAATAGGCTTTTATTTGAAAAGGAGATGTATCAGTCAGCCCTAGCGGAAAAACAGATGGCACACTCAACGTAGGATAATTTGAGGAGGATTTAATAAAGGGACTGTGTTCCAAAGTGTGGGCAGGATGCAAGGACACTACGAGGGACAGCACAGTACGTCAGGGCAATAGCATAGCTCAGGGTTTCTTGAGCTTGGTACTGTTGATATTTGGCCTGGTTGATTCTTTGTTGTCAAGACCGTCAGACCGTCCTGTGTACTGTAGGATGTTTGCCAATATCCCTAGCCTGTACCCACTCTCTGCTTGCCAATAGCATCCCTCTCAGTTATGATCATCAAAAATGCCTCCAGATGTTGCCAGGTATCCTCTGTGAGGGAAATTGCCCCTAGTTGAGAACCACTGGCGTAGTGGTTACCATCCCTAATTCTGAAGGGATAAGGGGAAGAGGTGGTTAGCGAAATCCAGAAGGAGAAATGTAGAGGGTCACCTTGAGGGAAGCTTTCAGCTCCAGTAGAGGGGTGTGGCAAACTTCAGGTGATCCCATTGGGAGAGAGCCAAGGAAAGAGGTAACCTGACTTCACTGTCCAGCTTCCTTCCCTTACTGGAGTTCATCACTGATCACATCCAGCTGGAAGCAAGAGGGCATGCTGCCCTGGTAGTGGCTGTGGAGGTCACTCTTCTTCAGGCAGAGAGCATAGTGGGGCAGAGGGAAGATTATCTGCACAGGATTCCTGGTTCCCTAACTGGGCTTTGGGGATTTGTGAGGTGAGTGGCTTGTGTTTGAATCCCAGCTTCATGGCCTTATTGCCACAACGCTGGTCAAGTAATTACATATCTTCGTGCCTCAGTTGCCTCATGTATACAGTGAGGACCCTGTTACATCCTTTCCGTCTCCACTGTTGTGGGGACTAAGTGGGATAACCAGCATCAACACGTAGTAGGCACACAGCTCATGTTCGTTCCTTAACATGGGCTCCTCAGGTTACTGCAAGTCCTGGACCTTTCATTCCTCTTGACTGTGCATCCAAAAGACCACACTCCTCATTTTCTAGAATTTATAGATGAACATAAAGATTTTTTTCCTCTTTTCTTTTTTCTTTTAGATATATATGCTTGTTACTTACATTTAATCACTGTATGTCTTTACAGTGTATAACATGGTTTTTCCCAGCACGAATCCAGTGCATACCGGTTAAGACAAAGACATTACCATATACATTATCATCAACAAATAACCTCTCATTCGGGTGTCAATTAAATGTATTGTTTGTTTTTTCCTATTTCCCTCCTTCCTTCCCTTCCACTGCTACTCACCCTCTATTACATACCTCTCATTTATCTCTAGTATCTACAGTTGCCCTCCCTATTACACCTTCCAGTCTTGCAGTTTCTGCTAGAGAGCACATTCGGTTTATATCGACCGGGCACATACAAACTGTCTTTCATAGCCTGACTTGTTTTGCTTAGCATTTAAGTCTTCCACATTCATCCACTTTGTTCCAAATGTCAGGGTTTCATTGTTTTGTATAACTGAGTCGAATTCCATAGAGTACATATGCTACTCATCTATTTTTCGACATTTGGGTTGGTTCCCTGTCCTAGCAATTATAAGTAATGCTGCAATAAACATGGATGTGCTAGTGTTTTTTCTGTTGGAGGGTTTTCCTATCCTCTAGGTAGATACCTAAGAATGAAATTACTAGGACAGTTACCAGCAGTTGGCATAATGGCTATGTTGCTGGACTCCCATGTAGTCAACCATGGTTTGAGTTCCAGACCTGGTGGCTTAAACTCACCCTGTGTGTGTGTGTGTGTGTGTGTGTGGGATCCACATGGCTCACTGTGTGGTTTGAGTCCTAGACCTGGTGACCTGAAAAATCACATCAACCAAGTGTGTGTGTGTGTGCCCAAAATTCTGGGAAGAGAGTAGAGAAGGGATCCTCCCTGGGGGTGACTTCTCACTTTCCCTCCCTCTCTCTCTGTGTCTGTCTCTCTCCAGTAATGTAGTCCCATTTGTCTATTTTAGGGACTATTGCCTGTGCTTTTGGGGGTCTTCTTTAAGAAGTATTTGCCTACTTGAAAACTCCAAGAATTTTCCCTGTGTTTTCTACCAGTAGCTTTATCATTTGAGGGTTTTATTGTTTTTTATTTTTGGTTTTGGTTTTGGTGGTTTTTAAGAGAGATGTTTGCTATAGGGCATGTGTGCTTGCTGGACAGACAGAGAGAAAGTGAGAAATCACCCCCCAGGGGGGATGGCCACACCACACTCCGTTCTCCATTCTCCTCTTGGGATTTTGGGCATGCATGCATACTCGCCAGATTTGAATTTTAAGTGGTCGGGTCTGGGATTCGAACTGTGGTCGACTACATGGGTGTCCAGAGATGTAAGCATTACAAACCATCTGTGGTCGCATTGAGTTGATTTTTGTTAATGATGTCCTTTCTTTTCTTTGCATCTCCTAACTTGCTCAGTAATTTCGGACAGTTACCCTCAATTTTCACTTTGGGAGTATTAGCAAACTTTTATATTCATATAGCAGTTTATCCTTTCAGAGCACTTCCACCATCTCTCTTGTATTTCAGTCAGTTATCCTTTAACGAGGGAATTCTTCCCATATCCCAGGTGGGGAAACTGGGGCTCAGGTACATTAAAAGCCTTGTAAGAGATCACAGCAGGAGCTAGAACTCAGAGCTCCTCCCACCTACACTTAGCTATGTTGAGTCTTGTGTTTGCTTCTGGGGATCTAATCAGAACTTCCTATGAAGTCCTACTTCTCAATGACACCATAATACTGTACTGCTGTAGGATTGCTGGCCTTGAGGCAACCTTGACTTTGTTTGATTATGCCCAGGCTATGATAAGGAGGAGGTGCTCTCATAGGCCGAAGGTTCCCTTGTGATTGTTATCTTCCTCACACAAAACCTATTTCTGTAATCACCTTCAAAGCCAGAGTCATTTTTCCTTGGATGAGTTTCCTTTCTCACCACCCCCATTCAAAATGCACACAGAACTTGGCAGTTACTTGGCTGCTTTCAACTTTCTAATGTTCTTTTTGTTGCTGTTGTTTTTGAGGTTTTTGCAATAGGCCTTGCCAGAGAGAGGCAGACAGTGAGAGGGAAAGTGAGAAATTACCCATGAGAAGCAATCCCTGCTCTTCCATTCTTCTGGGATCTTGGGCATGCCTGCATGGGGAGGCGGGGGTGATGATTTTCAAGCCATTGGTCACAGTTGGACACGTAGGAGTCTGCCAACATAACCACTACTGCTGTCCCCTGATGTTCCTTTCTTATTCACCATCTCTGAGACCAGTGCACTGAGTTTGAACAATTGAGACCTGGGGAGGGACAGGATCATGGGTGGTTGCTTCATTCAAGAAGAAAAATGATAATACAAAAGGGGCAAGGATGAGTTCACTCACCTAGAAGACCTGGGCCACTCTCACAGGTGCTCAACACCTCCTGAACCTCCTCTCTGTGCTGTGTTCGGGCCCTTTGGCAGGATGAAGAGGATTGGGTGGAGGAGCCGTCAGTCCTGGTGCTACTCTTGGCAGAGGTACTCCTGTCCATGATCTCCAGCTTAAAACAGGTGGGCAGAGCTGAGGGACGGGGGCTGAGGTGTCATTGGAACATAGGGCCAACTCTTACTAGGGAGCTAGAATGAATGCACTTTCTGCTCCTTCCTGCAGGGGAGTCTGGACAGCGCTGAGAAAGGGAAAGGAACACTTCGGGGCTTTGTCACTGACATCATAGCAAAAACAGCAGGGAGAGCTCTGTCACTGGTGATCGTGGATCAGGAAAAATACTTCAGGTTTGGATTTGCCCTGGAGACTTAGCATTAAAGGGGGATGCTCTTGGACCACCAGGGGTGAGTGTCTCATTCCAGATATGGGTCACTTCAAGATAGCACCCTTGACAAGCCCTGTAGGATGCTCCGATCCAGTCTTCTTGCTCCTCTTCGGCTAAGCTCAGCCTGGAGCTGCTGTCCTCTGACTTCCTCTCCTGCTCTAGTGCTCAGAATCCTCCAACAAGGAGACAGGGAGCAGCAAATAAGCAGGCCAAGAAGCAGCAGAAACAACCAGAGATCAACACAGGGCCCGTGGTATCCAGGGTAGATGTGGAAGAGGTAAGACCTTATTGCCTGTCGGGCTGGGTGCTCACTGGTCATCTAAGCAGATTAGCTATTGATAGAGAATAAATGACACGCCTTCCTGCCTTGGTAGGGAAGAGGCGAGAAGTGGCCGAACAGGAGCCAAGAAGCTGAGGTGCTGCTTCAGCGAACAGGGAAAGAACGACTTCCACCCTTCCAGCTCCTCACTGCTTTTGGGTTTCTAGGCACTGGTGGATCTGCAGTTACACACAGAAGCCCGGGCTCAAATAGTGCAGACCTGGAAAGAGTTGGCTGACTTTGCATGCTCGTTCACCAAGGCTGTGGCTGAGGCACCATTCAAGTGAGTGCCCCCAGCAGGGCCAGCCTCCATGCTGGGCCTTGCCCTTTACAGTGCTTCTTGAAGCCAGAGAAAATATTCCTTCCCCTGAACTCTGTGGTCATTCCGTTATCTCACACTTGAGGCAGGAGGAGCTGACATGCTAATGACTTTTGGAACGAGCCCTCAAGCCCAGTCCCTTTGAAAGTATTCTTTTAGCTTTTGTGTATGTTCTCCAGAATGGTACTAGGCTCCCAGTGGGCCAGCAGAGTTCAAAGTCAGAATTTAAAATTATTAAGGAACCTCAGAGCTAACCCAAGTCCCTATTTTATACCTGAGAGAACTGAGGCCTTAAGAGAGATGAACTTCTTGGGAACCAGCAGTTAGCGTAATGGCTATGTCGCTGGACTCCCATGTAGTCGACCGCGGTTTGCGTCCCGGACCGTGGCTTAAAACTCACGCTGGGCGCGTGTGTGTGCGTGTCCAAGATCCCGAGAGGAGAATGGAGGAGAAAGGATTGTGGCGTGACCATCCCCCCTGGGGGGTGATTTCTCGCTTTATGCCCCCCGGGGGGGGGTTTCTTGCTTTCTTTCTCTGTCTGGCGGGCGCACGCGCCCTATAGCAAAAAAAAAAAAAAAAAAAAAAAAAACTCTCAAAAGAGAGATGGACTTCTCTAGGCTTCTAGCAAGTTCAGAGAACTTGAAATTGACTCCAAATTGCCCGATACTAGTCCTTGTGCTTAGCTCTGTGCACACTTCTTCCTCCCTGGCCAGACAACCCGAGCTCAACAAAAGCCTGAGAATCTGGCACCTTCTCTTCTAAGAAATGAGTTTTTAAGGGAAATTGTTGGCGGCTCAGCTAGGCCAGACACAACATGGTGTCCACTTCCAATGTCAGTTGAGAGTGGGTTTTCTGGTTCCCACTTGAAGGGTCTGGAGTAGGACGCAACTCGACTCTCCAAACCATACCATTTGCAGGAAGCTCCGAGATCAAACCAGCTTCTCCTTCTGCCTGGAGAGTGACTGGGCTGGCGGGGGGGAGGGAGACCGCTCTGGCAGGGGACTCGCACTGGTCTGGAGGAGACAGATCCAGCAGCTGAAGCCTAGAAATGGCCAGCGCCATTGTGGATGCCTATCCTTCCCCGCGGCTTCTGGTACAGGTATGCTGTTCCAGGGAATCACCCGTGCCCTGTGGCCTCAGTGGACCCCACTAGCCCATTTCCATAGACAGCACTATTGAGGGCTCAAGAATGCCTTCTGGGACAACACAGGTCTGCTCAAGTCAGAGTTGTTAACACTGCTCCAAGGAGGGAGGACAGGTTCTCATCCCCCAGCTCAAGCTTAACACCCTCCTTGCTCATGAATGAAGGATGACTGGATGATGTGGTGGTGAGGTAATTTACCATTTCCAGGCTTATCAGCGCTGTTTTTCGGAGCAAGAACGCCAGAATTTGCTAGCAGACATACAGGTGCGCCGAGGGGAAGGTGTGACATCCACCTCCCGCCGTGTTGGACCAGAGCTGTCCAGGCGGATCTACCTTCAGATGACTACTTTGCAGCCAGATCTCTCTCTAGACAGTGCGGACTGATGCTAGCCCTAAGGGCCAAGGACTAGAAGCAGGAGATCCACAAATACTCCACCTCTCACCCCTCCAGAACCTGACTGCAATGGAAGCATCTCCTGGGGTACAAGCCTGGGTAAGCTCCAGTCTTTCCTGGTTTCCATTATTTGCAAGCTTCCCTCCCTGTCAGCTCAGGGTAGAGGCTGAGACCCTTGCATCCACCTTCATGGCATTTATTGTTCCTCCCCTAGCAAGACCCAGCTGCCACCAACAATCCACCCCACCCATGCCCACAATCTTCAAAACACAAAAGAACAAAGACAGACCACTCAGACATGTATTTAATCATTGTAAAAATCCAAAAGAATCAGCATCTGATCTCCAATTCATGGGTGAACTGTAGCATGTGGGTTGGCTTGACGAGGCTCAGCCAGAGCTGCCTTAACCAGCCAAGGAACAGGCTATGGCTATGCTGATTTCTGTACGATCTTAATCTGTTATACATTGTGTATTTAGTTTCAATAAAGCATTTATACCAATGGCTCTGGAGCTTGGATGAAGACTAAATGAATGTGTAGTGATTCTGAGGAAGGTATGGACCTACGTGGCAGAGCTATCGGGGGAGAAGAGAATAAAGGCCTTCCTTCCAGTATCAGGACAGTCACGAGCGGCCGCCCCTATCCAAACGGGCCAGAAGGGCTAAAAGCTGGATGCTGCCCTCCTTGTCTCTAACTATAATAGACTCTTGCTCCCTCCAGGGAGAAGCAAGGAACTTGCGATTGGGAGTTTTCCATGAATGAGCACCATGACAGTCGTCTCTGATCCCTTCATCCAGCTGTTGTGAAAAGATGAGGCAAGAAAATGCTTAATGTGGTAGATGGGAGACGGGACAGCACTGCCCGTATTTGTGCTAGTCATCAGCTAATGCACATGACGCTGCTTGCTTCCCTCATTTCCTGTTTCCATTCCTTCATTCCTTTCAGTTACAGGTCTAGAATCAAACTATTCTAAACCTCAAGAGTTTTCATGTTGCCGTTGAGGTATTTAATCACATCTAGTACTAACAGGGCCGGAGCTGTCATAGACAAGGTAGCTTGGCAGGGACCTGCTTCTTGCTTACTGGCAATTAGGGAGTTAATGCTCTAAAATGGAGGCGAGAAGCCTGGACTGTCCCCATTTATAAAAGCCATGTAAGTTGGGGCCAGACTCCTGAGGAGATGCCCAAGATCCTAATGACATGAGATTTCTATTTGAGTCATAAATCTGTCTACCCTGAAGTATGAGTGAATTCTGTTCTTTCAGGACATCATGAAGGAGGCAAAATGACGTGAAGGGAAGAATGTACACCAGAATTGGAGTCTAGTTCTGCCTCAAACTAGCTGGGAGACCCAAGACAAGTCACGAGAGGGCCTCGGTTTCTCCATCCACAAGTGTCATATTGGACTGGATGGTCATGAATTCCCTTTCACAGCCAGAGGTTCTGTATGGTCACTAAAATGCTTGACTATCTGAGGTCCTTAAGAAAATAGTACACCCCTCCCACCCCCCAATTTAGGCTGGATTTGCTGAGTGTGGTGTCCCCTAGTCCCCATAACATACTGCCTCCTGATCTGCCCTGGTTACCCAGGGAGGAATGAAAGAAAGGGTTGGTGACATACAAAAGTATAAATGTGTAGTGACAGCTGACCATTTAGTAGAAATGAGCCTTGCCTTTACACAGCTTTGTATAACAACTAGAAAAGGCTATGTTTTCTCTCTCCCCACCCCCAGGCCTATTGCTTTAGGCATGCAGGTTAACTGTCTCCCACCACCTCCCCTTTCTCCTCATTCCACCAGGGAACCCTGACTAAGGAACAAAGAAGTCCTACAAAGAGGAGATCTCAAGTACCAATCGGCAGCCATTTGATGATGGCAGGTAGGTCTGACGCTAAAAAGAGGTTGTGTCCAGCAGAACCCAATTCCATAGGAATCCAAGCTCCAAGGCCGGGAGGCAGCAGGTACTGAGGACAAGCTCACTGCTGAGAGTCGGTCTGGAGGACCCACTGGAGGATCTCGTGGCGGCGCAGACCTTGGACTGCATTGTCGTAGATGGTGTTTACGCTGGTGCAGAGGGGCTGCTGCTGCAGCTCTGTCACCCGACAAGCAACCAGCCCACCTGCCACACAGAACAGCAGCAGTAGCAGCAGCAGCTTCAGCACAGCCCAGGACCGAGTGTGCTTCCGGGGCGGTGGCTTGCGGGGGCGGGAGCCAGACTTAGATTCTGGAGGGACAAAGTCACAGTACACAAGACAAATTCAGTCAGTTGGAGACCCATTCTCTCTCAATCTGTGCTGGTCTCCTCTATGCAGTTCACTGATACCCCTCCTCATGCAAAAACTCCCCAGGTTTTTAAAATACTTTTTTTTTAGAGAGAGGTTTTTGCCATAGGGCGCGTGCACTTGCCAGAAAGACAGAGAGACAGAAAGCGAGAAATCACCCCCCAGGGGAGATGGCCACACTGTAATCTCTTCTCCTCCATTCTCCTCTCGGGATCTTGGGCACGCACATGCACCCAGTGTGAGTTTAAGTCACTGGGTCTGGGACTTGAACTGCGGTTGACTACATGGGAGTCCAGCGACATAGCCATTATGCTAACTGCTGGTCCCTAAAACACATTTTAATAATATCTGAGCTCTTAAAAACTGCTATCCAGAGGCTGAAACATAAATGCTTTCTCCCTTGGATCTCAAGGGAGTACATTCAAAACACGAACTCATTCTGCACGTCTTAACGTCCCTCGCGGTCCCCAGTGTCCTAAATTCTCCTTGGTAACACGGAGATGATCTAGAGCCCTGGGGCTGGTAGGGGGAGGGACTTCTCAGGAGGCTGCAAGCACTGACGGTGCTGCCTCCTTGGGAAAACAGGACTGGAGTGTGTTAGTTACATAATGTGTGTATAAAGGGAAGCCCAGAAGGTAATACACCATTTTGTAAACGGTGATTATTGCTAGGAATAGGGAACTTTCAGGTGACTGCCATTTCCTGATACAAGCTTTATTTTTTTTTTTTTTGAATTCTGTATAGTGAACATATATTACACTTAGGAAAAACTGGATTTGTTAATTTTAGATGACATTTAAAAATATGACAGAGCACCCACATTACCGCCAAGAACTGTGTGATCCTGTTTTCGCACTTAATCCTTTTCACTATCTCATGTGTAGTTATGATCCTCATTTTCAACAAGGAAATTAACAAAAGCAGTGAGATTAGGCTCAAGGCAAGAGGGAGCAAGGTGAGGGACATGAGCCCCCCCAGCTCTGTCCAGGGCTCCGTCCCCTCTCAGTACCTCTTCCCTTGGGGGCCCGGTGTGGCCCAGAGGGCAGGATCCTCCCTGTATATGGAGACACATCACACTATAAATTCAATGGGATATTTGGGGAAAATACAGAATGTTTTTTTTTTTTAAAAAAAAAAGAGCATGGCTGCCCGAATACAGGCCACATGGCAAGAGGGTGATCTATTTTGATGTGGGGAAAATAACCCAGGCAGCATTGGCTTTACAGAGATTGCACCATAGACTCAAAACACACCTGTACACTTCATGATGGAAGGGACTTGACCGTGACGTCCGATCTCAGGGATTTCAGAACCTCACCCCAACAAGAAGTGAGACTCCCTGCCCTGGAATGCTCTAAGGCCCATCTGACTCAGGTGTTTGCACAGAAGTACGTGGTGGGCAGCAGGGAAGTGAACCTGCTGGGGCACAAGCTCCCTAGAACGCCCTGTTCCTGGTAGCCACATTCGGGGCCTGGTCTGCAGCCTCCCCGGCTGCTCCCAGGCTACCCAGTTTATCCAACTAAGGTCTGTAGGCTCACTGTCCATGCCGCAAAACTCGAATGAGTCCACTGCACCCCGCTGAAAACGAGCAACAGACAAGAAACTCACTCGGGGCCTGATTTGTTTCCTTCTTCGGTTTCTTCTCCTGCTCCCGCTTGGATGCTTTGAGAGCATCATACTCCTTTCTCCGGCGCTCCTTCTCTTCCGCCTTCTCCCGCTTCCGCACTTCCCGCTCCTGAGCTTCTTTAGCCCGCTGCTTGGCCTCACGCTTCTTCTCTGCCTCTATAGCAACACACACCGAAATAGAGCTGCTCTCACAAGCCCTCCAGCAGTTTGCTTTCCCGAGTGATTAAAAGTATGCCTTTAGCCACCTTTTCTCTTGTACCCCAGGTCACCTAAGTACTGAAGGGGAACAGCCACCTGCTGTCCTCTGCAAAGTAAGCCGTCCTCACTAAAATACAGTAAGCTGCGCTCAGGGTTTGCTGAATGGTTTCTTATCAAGGCGCTCCTAGCTACAAGCAGCAGAGATTAGGGGGACCTAAAGCAGGCACGGTGATAAGACTGGTACTCCTCTAGAACAAGGGACTAATTCAGAAGGCACAGCGACTGGCAGTCTTCTAGACCCCAGACATAAGGAGAGTAAGGTGTTCATTCTATGTCATTCCTTTTTCCCAAGCTTTGGAAGCCATGTGGCATGGGGAGGGCAAGCGAAAAGAGAAAACGAGCACTCGAGTTTAGGGTTAGAGACAATGGCAATGTTTTGCTGTCTTTTTTTTTTTTTTTTTTTTTAAAGATTTATGTGATAGGGCGACTGCCAGAAAGACAGAAAGTGAGAAATTATCTCCCCCACCAGGGGGGTGGCCACGCCGTAATCCCTTCTCTTGGGATTTTGGGCCTGCGCGCGTGCGCACGCATACACACACACGTGCCTGGTGTGATTTTCAAGCTGCAGGGTATAAGATTTGAGCTGCGGTTGGCCATGTGGGAGCCCAATGCCTTAACTACCATGCCACCTGCTGGCCCCAGTAATGTTTTCTTAAAAAGTGAGACTAATAGAGTAACCTCTAGACTTCCTCTCAGGAAACTATGTAACACATTCAGATTTACTTAACAGCTCAAGCATGTTTACATGCAATACCGCACTTCTAATTACTGGGTTCTAAAAATGCATTTCCAAATTAGTTATTTGGAAGTCTGAAATATATCTTTCCAAAGCCAAAATGCCACAAATGGGTGGTTAAATGTTCTTCTAGGGCTTACAAGCCTATCTGAACCATAAGGTAGCTGAATAGCAGCACTGTAAGTACTGTAGCTTCCCACTGCTTCTCTACGTACAAACAACTCCGGGTTCCAGCGGGCAGCGAGAATGCCAAGAACACGGTACACCCGGCCTCTGGGGAACATGTGCTGTCACAAAGTAAAAGCAGCAGGAGTCAGAGTAAACGTAGGCGTGTCTGGCCACAGTGGCCACGCATGTATAAGGGACAGCTGTACTGAGGCATTGTGACCTCAGGGACACCCTGTAATCAGTCCTAAACAACCAGTCATCCTCCAGAGGTCAGCTGGTCAACAGAGCAGCTACTGAGTTGTCCTAAGTGCCCAAGAAGCAGCAGTGGAGAAGGCAGGCCAGGTTCTATTGCCTAAGTGTTTTGCTTCTCCACAGAGAGAGACAGATAATAAACAAGTGAACCGCATAGCAAAGACAGTGAAATATGCCACAAACAAAATAACAGGCTGCAACAGCGAGGGGAAGGGAGGATGGCTATTCCAGTTTGGGTGGTTCTGAAAGGATTAAGACCTAACCTAAGGGAACATGGAAACAGACAGATACAGATTTTAAAAAGCCAGCCATGTAGACACCGAGGGAAAAGGACACCCCAAGCAACATCCCTCAATTGAGACTAGTTGGTATGTTCAAGCAACAGCAGAGGCTCCTGTGGCTAAAATGGCCTGCTTCCCTGAGACACAGAACAAGGTCTAAAGGGAGGGCGAGCAGGCTTGGCCAAGGTGGGCCTCGTTGGCCATGTCACCAAGTTAGGATTTTACTCTGAGTTCAGTGGGGTGCCATTACAGGGTTTTAGGAAGACAGCAACATCATTAATTTATGTTTTAAGATCTCCCTGGCTGCTGTGTAGAAGATAGGATTTTAGAAATGGCTAATTGTGGAGACATTTTAGGAGGTACTGCAGTAGCCCACGGGATGGAGGCCTGTTACAGAGCTGGCACTGGAGGAGAGATAGTCACACGTAAGGCTTGTTGACAGAGTGGGTGTGGGAATTAACAGAAGAATGAAATACGGACATCCGTCTTAGTTCAGGCTTGATTAAGTACGGGGGTAGTAATTTCCCATTATAGAGGAACACTGAAAGGGCTGAGGGGACATCTGAGATTCCTATTAACCCTCCAAGTAGACGAAAAGCACTTGAATGTGACATCAGAGCTTAGTGGAGGAGCCAGGACTGGAGACTCATCAGCTAAGGATGAAACCACCCCCACAGCAATGCTGTCCTGTCCCCACTGTTTGTCATGACTCTTCGATTGGACTCTGGCTCCTGAAGCATGAGACTCAGCTGGGGTGGACCTAGAAGATGACTCTGAGAACAATGGCCACCTACCTCGTTCCACTTCCAGCCGCCGCTGCCTCTCTCGCTCCTGATCCGCCTGCACTGCTTTCATGTGTTGTAACACCTGCAAAGGGAGACAGGCGCTTGAACTACTCAAAGCTGTAGCACAGCTCATGTGTGCTCAGGGAAGTCAAAAAAGATTGCTGGTTTCAGGACCCCAGATCACCCTGGGCCCAGCAGCAATGCAGAACTAACGGAGTTAATCTGATCTGGGCCTCCTAAGCTACTGTACCAACCTTTGCTGGAGAAGTCATAGCCCAGTTCATGAAAGCTGCCAGAAAAAAGTTTGTGAGATACAATGCCAACTCAAATCCGTAAAACATTCTGACACTACAATCACGCTCATATGTATGGTTTCATAGAAGCCTTCCTCCAGCCCCTTGTGATAGGCGGGGACAGCATTTCCTGTAACATGTTCCTGACCTCTCCTCCTCTGGCTACCTGAGGTCCCCCCACTCTGCCACTCCCGCGAAATTTGATACACAACACTGAAATTACTTGCTGCCCCTCTCAGTCGTAAGACTACGTTCCTAAGGGCAGGCACTGCCGCCCTGACCATAGGTATCCCATGTGGTTAGTGCAGAGCTCAGCTAACCAAAGACATTCAATAATATGTGGTAAACGGGACCAGCAGTTGGCGTAATGGCTATGTCGCTGGACTCCCACGTAGCTGACTACGGTTCGAGTCCTGGACCCGGTGGCTTAAACTCACGCCGGGTGTGTGTGTGTGCGTGCATGCATGCCCAAGATCCCAAGAGGAGAATGGAGGAGAAAGGATTGCAGTGTGGCTATCCCCCCAGGGGGTGATTTCTCGCTTTCTGTCTGTCTCTCTGTGCCTTTCTGGAGAGTGCACATGCCCTATAGAAAAAAAAACGCTAAAAAAAAAAAAAGTGGTAAATGACGGACTGGATTCCCATTTAAGAGGAGAAAAACCAAGTCTGATAGGGTGATTTAGCCACCTCACATGGTTAGAAAGTAGCACAGCTAAGGCCAGGGCTATTCCATTCACTTCTACCACATGCACAGGAGAAGAGCTCAAAGAGAAAGGCCCAAATGCTACACACTGGTATTCAACATCCCGGGCCCCCAGATCCTCATCCATCTATGACTTCTGAGGCACAAAGATTCTCACTAAGGGCATGGTTGGGGGAGGAGATAAAAGACTTCTGTGTTTGTATGTATGTTTTAGAAGCTGGTATCCCTTGGATGTAGGGGACAGAGGTAAGCTTGGAGCCTAATGCAGTCCTGACTCTTTCTGTGTGACCTTGGTAAGTGACCTAACCTTTCTAAGTACTAGCCTCCTAGCATTATCCCTAGTCTGAGATGTACTCGATTATAGCTGCCTTATCACTTCATCTTCTTTATTGCGTAAGAAAAAAAAGAGAAAAACCTGAACTATTCTAAATTAAGATAGCAAAAGGGTGTTGTTTCACTACTGAACTAAAGAACCTGCAAGAGAGATTTGTGTATTCAAACCTATTTTTATTTCTTGGAAACTTCAGACAGGCACACACTCATCCTAAGAGGAGCTCAGAAGCCCACCTGCAAAAGCATTTCCTGGGGCTAGCAGGTAGTGTAGTGATCAAGGTGCTAGACTCCTACATGGCCAGCCAGGGTTCAAGTCCTAAACCTAGTGGCTTGCTTTCTCTCTTTCCCTCTCTTGCTCTCCCTGTGTCTCTCTCTGGTTAAATGAAAAGTAAATGAATGAATGAATAAAATTAAATAAAATAATTCTTTTAAAAAAAGTTACTATAAAACTACAGTGAACAAGACGGTATAGCATGGGGGAAGGTACAGACAATGGGTCAGTGGAACTCAAAGGAGTGAAGGTTAAAAAAACAGGCTACCCAACAAGGAGTTGAGTAGAGGAAGAAGGCGCAGCATGAGAGTGACAGAAAATCCAAGTTAAAAGTCCCCCCATCTTACTCTAAACACTGAATATTAAGATAAACACCAGTTAGGAGCCAGCAGATGACACAGTAGTTATGTCACTGGACTCTCACATGGCCAACTACAGTCTGAGTCCTGAACCTGGTGGCTTGAAACTCACGCCAAGCACATGTGTGTATATGCCCAAGATCCTAGGAGAGTGGAAGAAAAGGTACTACAAAGTGGCCATTGCCCCAGGGGGTGATTTATCACTTCCCTTCTCATTGTCTGTCTCTCTGCCCAGTGAGCAAGTGCCCTAAGGCAAAAACCTCTGAAATAAATAAATAAGCAAAATAAAACAAGCACCAATTATTCAGCGGATTTTAGCGAGTGTACAGCTGGCTAGACTTGGGAGACTTAAAGAGACATCCCTGTTTACCTTGGCTGCAAGTGCTACCATGAAAAGTTAATTATCTGAAAACAGGCAGTTCAGAGATGAGAGACTATTCTAGTCTAAAACTGGGCTCCTGGAGGTTAGATGTTGTCTACCTGTCTCAGTTCACAGCATAAAGTAAGCACCTGGTAAATAGTATTGAACAAATTACTATTTTTTTGAGAGAGATTTTTGCTATAGAGCACATGTACTTGCCAGAGAGACAGAAAGGGAGAAATCATTCCCAGGAAGGATGGCCGTGTCGCGATCCCTTCTCCTCCATTCTCCTCTCAAGATTCTGGGCCCGCACACATACGTGCCTGGTGTGAGTTTTAAGCCAGTGGGTCCAGGACTCAAACTGCAGTTGACTACGTGAGATAACCATTACACCATCGGCTGGTCCCAAACAAATTATTATAAATGTACTTCTGTAAGCTACCCTAGCAGGGCTATTAAAAAGTATTTACATACGAAGTGCTGTCTGTCTGTTGTCAAGGTTATCTTCCTACAGTTGTTAATACCCAGTACCCCAATACTACAATATCCTATCAGGGTAAAAAAAGTCACCTGTTTATCAAATTTTGGTTCCCCCCAAAACCAAAAAAATTAAATAGCACCAGTCATTTTTACATCTTCAGACAATTAACATTCCAAAACAACTAGCTTTGCATACCATTTCCTCTTCCCCCATTTTCTGCTCTTTAAAAGAATAAATCTGAGGCGGGGTTGGAATCACAATTTCTCCATCAAAAAAGTTGGGCCCACCCAATCCTCACTTTTCTATACTGGTATGTCTGTATTTGTTACTGTGTCTATTTTTTTCTTTTTCTTTTTTTTTGAGAGGTTTTTTGCTATAGGGCACATGTGCTCGCCAGACAGAGAGAGAGAGACAGAGAGATAGAAAGCAAGAAATCTCCCCCCGGGGGTTGGCCACGCTGCAATCCCTTCTCCTCCATTCTCCTCTCGGGATCTTGGGCACGCACGCACACGCGCCCAGCGTGAGTTTTAAGCCACTGGGTCTGGGACGCAAACCGCGGTCGACTACATGGGAGGCCAGCGACATAGCCATTACGCTAACTGCTGGTCCCCACTGTGTCTGTTTCTAATCCACAGCCTTCCCCTCTCAAAAAGAACATAGTCATGCCAAACAAGTCTCAGCAAAGTGTCCTAAAAAGTTTATTTTATATATATATATATATATAAGCCGTAACTGCTACTGAGCCCCGTGCGGTGCTAGGGGCATTGGGAGGGAGTCACTCACGTGCATGCAAGCGCTCACGCCTGCGCGCACCTGAACCACACGGCCACCTGGGAGAGCTTCCAACAAAACAAATTATTTTTAAAAGGTATTTTAATGTGCACCAAGCTGATCAGTTACAATGACTTATCAATGCACCTACAAGGTCAGAGCTGGTGAGGCCTAACCTAACTCCTGACAACAAGTGACCTCATTTTGATGGGCCCAAAGACTCCCCAACAATGCCTAAAGATGCTACAGCTTTGGGGCAGCAGTGCCAGGGACCATGACTTAAATGACTACATCCTCCATAATGCATGGTGCTGCCTAGAGCTTGGTCAGGAAGATACATGCAAATACAAAAGACCTTTGCACTCAATAAAAATGTTTGAGAGTCAGCAACTATGGAATGTCATCATTTTCATATGGTTCAACATATTACTCTGAATGAATGAATGAATGGATAAATGAAAGATATGGACACGCTAAGGGTTTCTTGTGTTAGAGATGGAAGTGACACCTACTTCCCAGGATCATGAGGACTATGAGATAACACATCTAAGATGAAAGAAGAGTAACCAGTAGTAGCTACTGTTAGTGTTGAGAACAAACATCATTCTTAATCAATACGGGATTTCACTGATTTTTTGTGTTATTCTCATCTAAGAGAAAACTGCTGTCTTGCTACTTCATTATGTTAATTTTGTGCTTAATTTCTTTCTTCCTTTTTTAAAATTTTGTCAGAGGACATGTGTGCTTGCCAAAGACAAACAGACATACAGAGAGGGAAGGAGAAAGCACCCCAAATGGGGCCTGGCCATGTCACCATCCTTTCTCCTTGATTTCTCCACCCTTTCGGGACTTGGGGGACGCATGTACACACACCTGGCAGTTTTTTTGAGCCACTGGGATCAGGATCCAACTGCATGGTCAGCCACGAGGGATCCGACTCCCTTAACTACTAGAGCACAGGCTGATTCCTGTGCTTAGTTTTTGTTTTTTTTTTTTAAAGAAGTGTTTATTTATTATTTTATACAAGCACATGTGCTCACCAGAGACAGAAAGATAGAGGGAAGGTGAGAAAGCGAGCAGCCAGGCAGGTCCGGGACTCAAACAAGATTGGCCACGTGGGCGTCCAGGGCCCTAACCACCCTGCCACCTGCTGGTCCCTGTGTTTAGTTTCTTGTAACAGGTAAGATAGATGACGAAACTATGTGAGAAGCTCTGAGGTAATATTTTAAAAAGGCCATCACTTTTGAGATTCATAGTCTAGACTCATCATACATATATTTAACTTACATTAATTTCCAATATTAAAAGTCTATTTTTTTGTTCAACATGCCAAGTAAACATAGCCAAGTAGGTCATCTGGTGCTCAGCTAAAGCAGCAGTGATCTGTCCCGAAGTCAGAGGGAGAAAAAGGACTACCATTGGCATTCCAAAATTAGTATAGTGCTGTCCTTAATGACCAAGCGAAGACATCTTCAAGGTCACTGGCCACCAGCAACATCTGCTTTGCATGGTGCCATCCACTCCTCACGATGTCACATAACTCAACCGTAATCAAATGCCAGGTCTGCTCGGGCTGTTTGTAGCTATAAACTTACAAATTATTAATACATTTACTATCAAAATTCCTACAACTCTGCCTCAGAGAGGCCACAACCTATGACCACCTTGTCCCATTAAAATAGCTAACTGGGCCAGCCAAGTGGCGTGGTGGTTAAGGTACCCACGTGGATCTCTCACGGCTGACTGCATGAGCCCTGGACCTGGTAGCTTGAAAACATACCAGCTGAGTGTGTGTGCATGCCCAAAATTCCCAAGGAGAACGGGGGAGAAGGGAATGTAGCATGGGTGTCCCCCCAGGGGGGGTGATTTCTCACTTTCCTTCTTTCTTTCTCTGTCTCTCTCTACCTAACGACAACAACAACAAAACAAAAATAACTTACAACAAAGTGAATGCTGTACCATGCAACATCCTCATTTCTTAAGGACGGACGGACTGAAGTAGAGCAGAACAGGCTATTGTTCTATTACTTAAAAAGGAAGAAACAAAAGGCTCTGCTTGACTAGTGCACAGTGGACATACCTCACTGAGAACTTAGTGATCAACTATGATCAACACACAGCTACAGGTACCCTGGAGAGGAAAAAAGGAGGGAGAGGAAGTCCCATGGGAGTATAGGAAGCAAACCCTCGGGAGCTCTGCGTTTACCTTGTTTGCACACTGCTTACATTGCTTCTCATCCAAGCAATCGCCTGCCACTTTGGCCAGGACGGGGTCCAGGGGGTTATCCTTCAGGTCCAGCCACTTCAGGTTCTAGAGAGATGGGCAAAGAGATTGGCTAAGCCCTTAAGGGGGACAAAGTGAACAGGAAGAAAGTCCTTCTGTGTTCCACCTTCAAGGAAAGACACTGAGGCAGGGCCTACAAGGAGGTATTTCTGTCAACTTTTCCCTCAGCAGGGCTCCCTCAGTCCCTGGGCCACACCTGGTTATGAAACACTGGCTCATAATTTTGTTACCTTGAGCTGGGCAAAGCTGACAGGCAGGGTGACCAGCCTGTTGTTGAGAAGATCCAGGTGCTGGAGGTTGACCAGACGGCCAAAATCTGCAGGCAGCTGTTGTAGCTTGTTCTTACTTAGGTCAAGCTTCACGAGGTGTGTGAGGCCACAGAAATCCGACTGGAACCCAAAGAGAGAACACTGAAGCTTTGGGCTTATACTCTCTGGTCCCATAGTCTAAAAATCCCCAACTCAGAGGCCCCTATTTATAAATCCTAACTCTACCTTTCATCCCTAACCCTCTTTGAGTGAAAACAGAGAACACCTGACACTCCTAGTGGTAATTACTGTGGTGTGTATATAACAAGACACAGCTGTAACAGCAGCTGGTGTAATGGCTATGTTGCTGGACTCCCATCTAGTCAACCGTGGTTCGAGTCCCAGACTCGGTGGCTTAAACTCACGCCGGGTGCGTGTACATGCATGCCCAAGATCCCAAGAGGAGAATGGAGAAGAAGGGATTGTGGCATGGCCACAATCACCCCTAGGGGGGTGATTTCTCACTTTCTGTCTGTCTTTCTGGCAAGCACATACGCCCTATAGCAAAAACCTCTACAAAAAATAAATAAATAAAAACAAGACGTAGTATGGAAGTAAAGCAGGCAGAATATTTGTGTTTTCCTTCATCCTCAGTTCTCCCTCTAGCCTACCCTCCACACTGCTGCTGGAGTGATTAGGGACCCATCCTGTCTTCCCACCAAGGGATTGTGGCATGGCCATCCCCCTAGGGGGGTGATTTCTCACTTTCTGTCTGTCTTTCTGGCAAGCACATACGCCCTATAGCAAAAACCTCTACAAAAAATAAATAAATAAAAACAAGACGTAGTATGGAAGTAAAGCAGGCAGAATATTTGTGTTTTCCTTCATCCTCAGTTCTCCCTCTAGCCTACCCTCCACACTGCTGCTGGAGTGATTAGGGACCCATCCTGTCTTCCCACCGCACCCAATGTTCATCCATCACAGGACCTGTCAAAACCTCGTGTGACTGTCCATTTCCTAAAAAGATTGGGCACTCCTGCGGTTCCCAGTCTCTGCCTCCTTTGTTATTGCCAGCATTCAGCACAATACTCGCACGGGTGCTTAGTGAGCGTCCTCTGAGTGACTGAACTGGGGCCATCCCATCCACATCCTGGCTCTTCTTCGGCACAGCCCAGAACCTTTGCTAAGCAGCCATCTGCAAGTGATGGTACAGCCTCAGCTAATGAGGGACTATTTATGCTCTCTGGGGACTTGTAAATCCAAGGGGATGTGCACTGCACAGTGAGATGGAAGCTGTCAGTACCATGGAACCAACGCAGATTGAAGAGTGCACTTTTCAATGCAAAGTGACTATCCAGCCAAGTGAGGCTGCAAGGAATTACTACTCTTCTTTAACTGGACAAAAAATACTTTCTAAAAAAAAGAGAGAGATTTCAGATGTCTTTTGAATGTTAGAAACAATTTTTGGTTAACTATGGGAAGATACTGCAGAAAGTGAGTGAGGCCCAGAGGAACACTGCGGGCCATGGACTAATGATCCTATGAAGAATCTGCCAACCTCTAAACTCACTCTCTGAGCCAGAGTCCAATAAGCAACCCTAAAGCACAACAAGGAGGGATGGGTGGAAGAGACAATGATGACAACAAACTTAGGTCTGACCAATTAGGAGTGCTGCTGAGGAGGAAAGACAGCAATTACCTATGAGAGGTTGAGGGGCTGAATAAATGCAGCGCCTACATGGTGGAACAAAAGGAGAACTGGAGGAAGGTGCCCAAGCAAAGTCCAAAGGATCTGACCCCATATTGTATGTGCTGGACAAAAACATAGCAAAGCCAAGGCCCAGCCTTTGTGTTGCAGTTGACAGGATACTGCACTATGGAGCTGGAAGTCCACATATACTGATCAAGGTTCAAATCCCTAGCTGGGCTGGCCTGAAAACACATGTGCCCAGCATCCTGGTGGCCGGGAGGACTAGAAGGGGAACCACAGGATGAACAAGCCTTCTGGAAGGTGTTTTCCTCCTCTTTCTCTCATATGTGGACACATGCTTTAATATGAATTTTAGAAGGAGGCAGGAGAGAAGCTCTGTAACATAGCAGTAATGCACTGCTCAAGAGAAGCCAGATCCCACATGGCAACCATGGTATAAATCCCCAGTTAGTCAGCCCAAAACACGTTGGACACGTATGGGACTGCCCAAGATCCAACAGGCTAGAGGACTGTAGGAAGGGGATCGTGGTGTGACCAGAGACCCTGCAGAGAGTATTCACTTCTCTTTCTCCCCTTCTTTCATATGTACAGATATACTCATCATAACTAAAGAAAAAAATGTAAAAAGCATCTTCCTCTCATGGACCTAAGTCTTAGGCTTTAAAAAAAAAAAAAAAAGAATTTTAAAAAAGTAGTAGGTCTCTCAGCAGTTAGCGTAATGGCTATGTCGCTGAACTCCCATGTAGTCGACTGCAGTTCACATCCTGGACCCAGTGGCTTAAAACTCACACCGGGCGCGTGCCCAAGATCCCGAGAGGAGAATGGAGGAGAAGGGATTGCGGTGTGACCATTCCCCTTGGGGGGTGATTTCTCGCTTTCTGTATCTCTGTCTCTCTCTGTCTGTCTGACAAACACACGCGCCCTATAGCAAAAACCTCTCCAAAAAAAAAAGAGTAGTAGGTCTCAAATAATTCACGTCCTTGTTTGAAAGAATGATAAGGTAGTCCCATAAAAAATTCACGGTCTTTCTTGTTCCTGAGCAAAAGATACATGAGGAGGAGAAAATACACAAGAAAAGATGTACAGTTTTCTCCCTGGAATGCACAGCAAATTATAAAAAGGTGTCTAGCCTCCTCTACACAATAAGGGGTAAACTATTCTTCAAAAAAATAGAATAAGGCAGAAAAAAATGAGGCTAATAAGTGACTCAGCCAGCATCCTGTTGACTTTAGTTTTCTTGGGCCTGCCTTTTCCCACCATTCTAAACAATGAGGCTTCTACCTCCATTCCCTTTTCACTGAGACTAAATACTCCCTCCACCCCCAACACACACACACACACACACACACACACACACACACACGCCCGCATGCTCAGATTTAGCTGCAGCTTGCTTGTAGGCCTATCCTGAGATTATGCCTTATGATCCCTCCACCCCCACCATGTAACTGGAAGGGCTTGCATCCAGAGTTCCAGAGGGAGTCACAGTGGCTTTTCCAACTTACCGGTAGAGTAGTCAGTTTATTGCAGGACAGATCCAGTATGGTGGCCTTTGGAAGGGTAGCCTAGGAAACGGGATGAGAAAAATATGTCAGACCAACACCTGGAATGATTCTGTGATATCTGCTAATGAAGCTTTTTCCAGAGAAAGTTCCCATGATCAGGAAAAGCTTGCACAGAATGGCACCGGAAGTATAATGTTCCTGGGGACAAGAGAGGAAAAAAGTCAGTCAGCTACAATCTAGGGGTGAATGCAAAGAGCAGGGATTTGGTTGTGGAAATCCAACAATAGAAAACCTGGAAATTCTTAGGAATTCTCTATTGAATGTTTTTCTCTAGTCCCTCTCTCCACCTTAGTAGGTTTCAAGGCAGGGACTGTATGTCTAACAAAGCTTTGCAATGTTCACAGTCCCCAGTTCAGGTCCCTCCTCCGAGCAGACACTCAACGTCCAGACATGGTGGCTGAATCAAGACTGAATGAACGAGTAAGGAGTGAATGCCAGAGCCAAAACAAGGCTGCCAGGCCCAACCCTATTTTCCTATGATGTCCAGGGCGGCTGGAGAGGCTCAGTGCACCCGATTCTTCTTTCTCCCTGGGGACTAGACGTAGATGGTTTGGGACAGCAGTCCTAGGACGAGGCTCAAATAAGGGTGACCATCTTCTTGGGGTGGGAAAAGAGGCAAATATTCAGCTAAGGACCCTAGGCCAACTTGCCTTTTCTAACAGAGAGTCCTTAGAATGAAATGTGACCACCTAAAACCGTTTGACACACCACAGCGGGAAGAACAGCATAGTAACAGCTACACCTATCAGTTTGCCCCCTTCCAGGCATTTTATATTACAGTCATATCTAATCCTCCGATAGTGTACCAGAAGAGAACCATTACACCCATTTACAAGTGAGGCGATCTAAGCATAAAGGTTAACTAGCTTGCCAAAGGCACTCAGCTATTGAGCAACGGCGTTGGGATAGGAACTTGGAGCGCCATTCTAACCACCACCGCACGCAGCCATGGCGAAGTGAAGACTGGGCCAACTGCCAAAGGCAAACGTAATTCCTTAAGGACAGTAAGGAAAGCGTAGGTCATCCAAAGAGAAGCTAAAGTGGGGGGTGAAAGTGCAGAAGAGCAGGGAAAAGGCAGGGATGTAGAATCTAGCTCCACGTTGGCAATCAACTAAGTGTGTCAACTCCCTGGGGGTCTCAGATCTCAGTTTCCCTGGTGGAGACCTGGGATTCCCGCCAGTTTCGGGACATCCAGGTGAGACCTTGCCGGCCAAGCAGGGAAACTTCACATCCTTGAAAGAAGGCCACTTCTGGGCTGGGGCAGCCAGCAGGGATTGCCGGCTTGCTTGAAAGAAGGCCGCCTCAGGGCTGGGGCAGCCAGCAGGGATTGCCGGCTTCCTAGAAATGCCCTGTTCTGAGCCACACCCAGGTCTCCTAGGAGGCCTACTTCCTCCGACCGGGTCATTCATTCATTCTCCAATACATCCAGAAACCGCTCTCTGGGCTCCTGCTTTGGGCTGGGCACCGAGCCCGGCGCTGTGAAAGTCCCAAAACGGGGGCACAATCGCTTATTTGGTCAGTTCGAGGCCCAGAGCCCGACAAGCGTATCTTCTCTAGGCCCTGGAACCGTGCCAAAGTGACACGTGTACATCCCAGTAAGAACGCTGGGGCCGGACGTGGCGTCCCTGGGGGCTTAGTCCTATCGCCCTTCGTTTTATAAACAGGGAAACTGAGGCTTGGGGGGAGGCCCACGCAGGCGCTAACGCCAGGTGCATGTGAGCGCATGGGCCTCGCGGGACAGCACTGACCAGTTCCTTGACGGGGACTTCGTTCAGGTCGCTGAGGCTCAGGTCCAGCTCGTTGCCGTCCAGCTTGTCGCGGAGGTTCCCGCCCTTGTTACCGGCCTTGGTCATGGTGACGCCGGCTGCGCGGGCCCCGGCTCCGGGGTACCGATGGGCAGGAGAAAGGAGCTGGAAAGCGCTCGTCGGCTCAGCGGACTCTCCCCCAACCGACGACGCTGGAGCCCTCCGCCGCCGCCCGTCCGACCGCTGGCCGCACTCCGAGCCCCGCGCCCTGCTCCCACCGGTGCCGCCGCGACGACGACCACTTCCGTGTCCACGTCACCTTCCGCGGCCACTGAGACGAGCTGGGCCAGAGCGCCCCAAATATGCGTGGGATCGCCCCCTGGCGCCTAGGAGTGTGAACTGCGTGTCGCCGCCACTGCCAAGGGGAGGGGGTCGCAGGCTCCGAGTTCGGTTGCAGGAAGCCGCAGCCCGATTCCCCGGTGGCCTCCGGTGGGCATAATTCCTGGCAGCGCCAGGAGGAGAAAGGGCACGGGACTAGGCTCCAGAAAAACCTGGGTTCCCATCCAAAACTGACCTCATGAGCTCACCCCCATTCCCTTGAAATAGGAGCAGAAGTTGGGTATTCTCCAAAATTGTTCCCTGATTGCTACTAAACTCCTAAATCACCAATGTCCGGGAAACGCAACTTCTTGAATTTCTCTTCTCTCCTCCCCACTGCCTCAGCTATTATCTCTCCCCACCCACCCACCTTTCTGACCTCTCTGCTCTAGCTTTGGGATAGAGACACTGTCCTTTCTGGGCTGGATCCTGCCTACCTCTGCAGCCTCCTCAAGTTTCAGTCCCTACCTGGACTTGCTGTGTGGACTTCTGGTAAGTGGCTTCCACACCTATATTTCTCCTGCAGTGGTCCCCACCCACCTTCTCTGCCTAGGGAATTCCTAGGCCTTCAACATGCCTCCTCTGACACAGAAGGCCAGACTGTTAGGGGACACTCCTTGGGGTAGGACTTGGGTGCCACCTTGTCATCAGAGGCTTATATTCAGAGCTAAGTGGGCCATCTGACAGGAGAGCAACTCCGTATTAATCCTACTCTGCCACTTGCTCCTTAGGAAACCTTAGGCAGCCAGCATAGGTCTTAGCCATGGATCTAAGAGAAAGGCAGTCAGTCATGGTTCCTACCTGTAGAGTCTGGGATTGAGTGACTAAAAGATGTTATAGCTTTGTTTTTTTGTTTTTTGTTTTTTGTTTTTTTGTTTTTTTAAAAAAAGACTTTATAGCAATGGTTGGCACCTACTTACTAAGGGCAGAAATTTTGTCTTAATGGTCTTTGAGTCTGAATGTCTGCTTCTGGTAGTTGCTCATTTAAAAGTCTGTTAACTGAATGAACAGACTTTTATCCATTCTAAACTTCTCAAAATGGGAATAGAAAGCTATCTCAGTGTGGGTGGCAGCAGGTGGCGTGGTGGTTAAAGGTGCTGGACTTCCACATGGCTGACCATGGTTAAAGTCCTGGGCCAGGCGGCTTGCTTTCTCTTCCTCTTCCCTTTTCTCTCCTCTCCTCTCCTCTCCTCTCCTCTCCTCTC